ACATCTCCCAAAATCTCTCTCTCTCCTCTGCATTCCTCTCTTCTCCAGGTGCATACACGCTTATTATGACCCACTTCTCGCATCCAACCTTTACTTTAATCCACATAATTCTTGAATTTACACATTCATATTCTCTTTTCTCCTTCCATAACTGATCATTTAACATTACTGCTACCCTTCCTTTGCTCTAACTCTCTCAGATACTCCAGATTTAATCCCATTTATTTCCCCCCACTGAAACTCTCCTACCCCCTTCAGCTTTGTTTCGCTTAGGGCCAGGACATCCAACTTCTTTTCATTCATAACATCAGCAATCATCTGTTTCTTGTCATCCGCACTACATCCACGCACATTTAAGCAACCCAGTTTTATAAAGTTTTTCTTCTTCTCTTTTTTAGTAATTGTATACAGGAGAAGGGGTTACTAGCCCATTGCTCCCGGCATTTTAGTCGCCTCATACGACACGCATGGCTTACGGAGGAAAGATTCTTTTCCACTTCCCCATGGACAATAGAAGAAATAAAAAGAACAAGAGCTATTTAGAAAAAGGAGAAAAACCTAGATGTATGTATATATATATATATGCATGTGCGTGTCTATGAAGTGTGACCAAAGTGTAAGTAGGAGTAGCAAGATATCCCTGTTATCTTAGCGTGTTTATGAGACAGAAAAAGAAACCAGCAATCCTACCATCATGCAAAACAGTTACAGGTTTTTGTTTCACAGTCATCTGGCAGGACGGTAGTACTTCCCTGGGTGGTTGCTGTCTACCAACCTACCAACCAACCTGTTAGTGTGCAGCAATATTCCAGCCTAGATAGAACAAGTGACCTGAAGAGTGTCATCATGGGCTTGGCCTCCCTAGTTTTGAAGGTTCTCATTATCCATCCTGTCATTTTTCTAGCAGATGCGATTGATACAATGTTATGGTCCTTGAAGGTGAGATCCTCCGACATGATCACTCCCAGGTCTTTGACGTTGGTGTTTCGCTCTATTTTGTGGCCAGAATTTGTTTTGTACTCTGATGAAGATTTAATTTCCTCATGTTTACCATATCTGAGTAATTGAAATTTCTCATTGTTGAACTTCATATTGTTTTCTGCAGCCCACTGAAAGATTTGGTTGATGTCCGCCTGGAGCTTTGCAGTGTCTGCAATGGAAGACACTGTCATGCAGATTCGGGTGTCATCTGCAAAGGAAGACACGGTGCTGTGGCTGACATACTTGTCTATGTCGGATATGAGGATGAGGAACAAGATGGGAGCGAGTACTGTGCCTTGTGGAACAGAGCTTTTCACCGTAGCTGCCTCGGACTTTACTCTGTTGACGACTACTCTCTGTGTTCTGTTAGTGAGGAAATTATAGATCCATCGACCGACTTTTCCTGTTATTCCTTTAGCACGCATTTTGTGCGCTATTACGCCATGGTCACACTTGTCGAAGGCTTTTGCAAAGTCTGTATATATTACATCTGCATTCTTTTTGTCTTCTAGTGCATTTAGAACCTTGTCGTAGTGATCCAATAGTTGAGACAGACAGGAGCGACCTGTTCTTAACCCATGTTGCCCTGGGTTGTGTAACTGATGGGTTTCTAGATGGGTGGTGATCTTGCTTCTTAGGACCCTTTCAAAGATTTTTATGATATGGGATGTTAGTGCTATTGGTCTGTAGTTCTTTGCTGTTGCTTTACTGCCCCCTTTGTGGAGTGGGGCTATGTTTGTTGTTTTTAGTAACTGTGGGACGACCCCGTGTCCATGCTCCCTCTCCATAGGATGGAAAAGGCTCGTGATAGGGGCTTCTTGCAGTTCTTGATGAACACAGAGTTCCATGAGTCTGGCCCTGGGGCAGAGTGCATGGGCATGTCATTTATCGCCTGTTCGAAGTCATTTGGCGTCAGGATAACATCGGATAGGCTTGTGTTAATCAAATTTTGTGGCTCTCTCATAAAAAATTCATTTTGATCTTCGACTCTCAGTCTGGTTAGTGGCTTGCTAAAAACTGAGTCATATTGGGACTTGAGTAGCTCACTCATTTCCTTGCTGTCATCTGTGTAGGACCCATCTTGTTTAAGTAGGGGCCCAATACTGGACGTTGTTCTCGATTTTGATTTGGCATAGGAGAAGAAATACTTTGGGTTTCTTTCGATTTCATTTATGGCTTTTAGTTCTTCCCGCGATTCCTGACTCCTAAAGGATTCTTTTAGCTTAAGTTCGATGCTTGCTATTTCTCTGACCAGTGTCTCCCTACGCATTTCAGATATATTGACCTCTTTTAGCCGCTCTGTTATTCTTTTCTGTCGCCTGTAAAGGGAGCGCCTGTCTCTTTCTATTTTACATCTACTCCTCCTTTTTCTTAGAGGAATAAGCCTTGTGCATACATCGAGTGCCACCGAGTTAATCTGTTCTAGGCATAAGTTGGGTCTGTGTTGTTTAGTATATCTTCCCAGCTTATATCGGTTAGGACTTGGTTTACTTGGTCCCACTTTATGTTTTTGTTATTGAAGTTGAATTTGGTGAATGCTCCCTCGTGACTAATCTCATTATGTCGGTCTGGGGCTCCGCGCATACATGACTGAACCTCAATTATGTTGTGATCTGAGTATATTGTTTTTGATATGGTGACATTTCTTATCAGATCATCATTGTTAGTGAAGATGAGGTCTAGTGTATTCTCCAGTCTAGTAGGCTCTATTATTTGCTGGTTTAAATTGAATTTTGTGCAGAGATTTAAAAGCTCGCGTGAGTGTGAGTTTTCATCAGAGCTGCCTCCTGGTGTTATTACTGCAACAATATTATTTGCTATATTCCTCCATTTTAGGTGCCTTAAGTTGAAATCCCCCAGGAGCAAGATGTTGGGTGCAGGAGCTGGAAGATTTTCCAGACAGTGGTCAATTTTTAACAGCTGTTCCTGGAATTGCTGGGATGTTGCATCCGGAGGCTTGTAGACTACCACAATGACTAGGTTTTGGTTCTCGACCTTTACTGCTAAAACTTCCACTACATCATTTGAGGCATTTAGCAGTTCTGTGCAAACAAGTGACTCTGCAATGTACAGGCCAACCCCCCCCTTTTGCCTGTTCACTCTGTCACATCTGTATAGGTTGTAACCTGGGATCCATATTTCGTTGTCCAAGTGATCCTTTATGTGGGTCTCAGTGAAAGCCGCGAACATTGCCTTTGCCTCTGCAAGCAGTCCACGGATGAAAGGTATTTTGTTGTTTGATGCTGGCTTTAGACCCTGTATATTTGCCAAGAAGAATGTTATCGGACTGGTGGTATTGTTGGTACTGGGGGGGGGATTTTTTTTCCGGCATTAGTATCTGTATCTGTTGGTTTGGAGTGGAGGCTATCGACTGTGGTTCCACTCCAGGAATGACTGGATTTGGTGTACGATTTCTGCCATTTCCTGCCAGTTTTTTTTCCTTCCTGGCACTAAAAAACCTCTCCCTCTTGAGTGGCTCTGGCTACCCAGGTTTTCCCATGGCCTGGATGTTTTGTATCTTTTTGTCCCCTTTAGATGGTATGCCTGGCAATTTAAATTATAGCACAGTCTTTCCTGTACTGAAGAGGTACACAGTTCAGGTGAAAAAGCTTACAGGAAGGGAGTTTGCATTTTCCTGTTGTCATATGGGCATGGCATTTTCTAGGGTGGTCATAGTTGCACGTCCCATCTGTTTTTTCCAGATTTCCCATGCCAGCAGATACCGAGTGCATAGTATGTGCACAGGCTTGGTTTCCGTTTGCCTTGGGTTTCTGTGACTGTATTCCCTGTTGGTGCATGTTTCCCTGTCTTACTTCTATCCTCCCTAGCACCAACAATGGAGCTCCCACCAGTTGTTTTTGGTAATATATCCTCACTATTGCTAGTGGAGTCCTCTTGTTTGCTATTTCCTGCGGTATTTCTAGTTTGCAATATTGGTTTTATCTTATCTTTGACTACACTTGTTTCCCTACTATGGCTCCTGTCCCCTATGAGGTCATTTATATGTATTCCTTCCTGCGTATAATTCCCGACTACCTGGACAAAATCTCCAGCTTCACCATTACTGTCTCCCAGGACAGCATCTCCAGCTTCACCATTACTGTCTCCCAGGACAGCACCTCCAGCTTCACCATTACTGTCTCCCAGGACAGCACCTCCAGCTTCACCATTACTGTCTCCCAGGACAGCACCTCCAGCTTCACCATTACTGTCTCCCAGGACAGCACTATCAGCCCCACATTTACTGACTACCAGGACATCATCTCCAGCCTTACAGTTTCTGACTACATGGCCAGTATCAAGGGCAGTACCATTCAGCCCAGACTTTTTATGTTCCCATCTGTTGTAGAAAGCTTCCAGGTTTTCTATGAAAGCAGCTTTGATGTTGACCTCTTTTAATACCCTTGTGATTTTAGTCCACAGATTTATCTCATTTGGGCATACCCAAAGACACTTCCCTGTTTTATTACTGCTTGTAGCTAGTTCTTGGATATCTGCACAAGGGTTGTGACACCAATTTCCACAAAAATGACAATTTATGCATGTGGAAGCCCGTTTGTTTGACTGACCACAGACTACGCACAGCTTCATAATGATTTGAATGGTTGATTTACTGCAATTCTACTAGCAACCTCTTGAATATTCTATTAATAACCTCCTTAAATGAAGCTCTAGCTATTTGTATTTCTGTTTCTAACTGTTTTTGTATATTGGACAGCTTACCGTGCACGTTCCTGGTATATATTTAATGTTTGTGTTTATAAGGGCGCCTACAACCCCATCCGTTTACAGTCTGCTTTATTGTCCAACGAAACCGTTTGAAACCAGTCAAGGGTTCGGACCAGTCAAGGGTTCGGACCAGTCCAGGGTTCGGACCAGTCAAGTGTGTTATAGGTCAATTTGTTCCTAGTGATACTGTAATTAAATAGTATTCCCTATACTACATTCTCATTCATATGGTAGGTGAAGGGTTGCAATAAAAGAAAATTCTTAATTTATCATCACAGTGCACTGCTTACTTGGTTGACAACGTATTAATAGAGCCAGTGAAGACAAGCAATACGGCGAGAAGAATTTGTTTTTGTGTCCAAGCCATTTTTCAACGAGTGTCTCAGTTGCCAGCACCTGCACTATTTGCTATGCAAGATGCAATTTTTCTTACACCTGAAAGAAATGGAGCACTTCACATCAACTTGCAACCCTCTATTTTCCCAGCACATGTGGACACAAAGGCACCTTGAACTTGAGTGAGACATTATCAATTAATCTACGCTACCTCCTGCTATACATACTATGAGCTCCACCTCCCACCCCACCCAATCTTTGCCCCCCCCCTTCCCCCTCTTGAATATACTGTACCCCTCACTCTCTCCTAATCACACCCCAACCCACTGCTCCACCACCAAACTCATAACCACATCTCTTGATCATGCACCCATTTCTACCCTCTTCCAACTAACTCATCTCCTTTTGTAATGCCATATTCAACTTCACCTGTTGCATGCTCCTGCTCCAATTTCCTGACATCTCTCACACATCTAAATAGTTCAACAATATATGCAGGTCACCAGATATCATTTATGCGCTACATGACGTAACCACAAAAAATGTTTCCTTTTGTCGGTGTTCGCCGAAACAGGCTGGCAAGATGCAGAATGAAAGAAAAATTAGAGCAGTTATCTTAGTTAATTTTAAAACAACTGCATTGGCCTCTTGATTATTTACAGCACCCTTGGTATTAAAAGCTATTTAATATTAAAAACAAATACTAAAAAATAAAATTTTTGATTATCATTGTTTGCACCTTTAAAGAATTCTACAGGTCATATACAAGTTGAAAAGCATAAATCAAAGCTTATTTTTATCACATTTTTGCATAAAATATGCCCTTTAAATTAATAAATAATGTCAGGTAGCGGTAACCATGACTAGCAAAACATTAAGATTGTGTGATAAAATACTTCAAAACAGCAAAAAATAAAAGATAAAGTACATGTACTTGTGAAGTCGTCTGATAGTTATATTGCTGCTGCTTTAGGTGCTTCCATCTTCAATGGCATCAATGCCACTGTCAATGTCAACAGAAAGTACTGCAGATAGGGCAAACTAGACATCTGAATTTTATCAAAAATTTATGCATGTAAATCTAGATATAGAACTGTATGATGAATTTTTTCCTTCAGTGTTTAGCTTTATTAATTTTTACATTGTTACATTTATCACTAGGAGCTTTATCAAGTCAGTATTGGTACAAATGGTATAGAGTACAATGGGGCAAATATACCACCACCTAGAAAAGCCCATTATCCAAGTATGTAGTTTCCAAAATACGATGACCCCTCCCCCCGAGTTGTGATGGTTTTGAGTTATAATTTAGCCTCAAAGAAATTTAGTTTTAAGTTACATTGAAAAATCCGAGATGCTATGTGTACGATGATTGGCCTCAGCCCAGAGACAAGACAGGGTGTACAAGAATGGTATACAATACCAACAAGATGAAACCAAGACACACATGCAACATCTGGGTAACTTTATTGTAGACGTATGGCAATATGTCTACAATAAAGTTACCCAGACGTTGCAAATATGTCTTAGTTTCACAAGACAGGGTGATTTAAATATCTTTAATAGATTGAGGGTGGAGGGTGTTTTGAAGGTGACAAAGAGAGAGAGTATGTGTACCAGATGCAGGCAGTGAGAGATCACAACAAGTGTAAATATTAACCTACAATTCTTTATGAATCTTTTACTGCCTTGCCCTGTCCTACCCAACCCAGTTCTGGCCTGCCTTCTCTGGCCTATCCTATCCTATCCTATGCTGCCCTGCCTCTGGCCTGCCCTTCCCTGGCCTGCTTTCTCTACCCTGTCCTGTCACCCTGATTGGGCTAAAATCCTGTGAAAGATACATTTGATCTTCAGTTGGGTGCCAATGCTTATGGAGATTTTAAGCTGAAGCCTATGCTTGTTTACCACTCAGAAAAACCTCAGAGTATGTAAACAACAAAATATATCCATGGGGAGGTTAGGTGTGTTCTGGCATGTTTGAATGAATTTCCATAAAACTATGTATTTTGGGGCTTGAGTTATGATATGTTATTTGGAACGAATTAAAATCGTAACTCAAAAGGACCACTGGCATGCCGTACTCGGAATACCAGTACACCAGTGCCCTGATGGCTAAAGCTCTCGCTTCACATGGCAAGGGTCTGGGTTCGATTCCCAGCTAGGGTAGAAACATTGGGTGTGTTTCTTTACACTGGTTGTCTATGTTTCCCATCAGTAAAATGTGTACCTGGGTGTTAGTCGACTGGTGTGGGTCGCATCCTGGGACAATAGTGACCTAATTTGTCCGAAATGCTCTGAATAACAAGTGGCTTTCTATATAGTACAGCCTCTCCTCACTGAACGGCAGAGTTCCGTTCCTAAGACCACGTTGTTAAATGAATTCATCGCTAAATGAGGAGCATATTATAATGGTAGTGGGTTTGTGTCAACCATCTTTGATATTGTTTTAATGTCACCTTTGCACCATTTATAACATTTCTGGTATTTATAACATTTCTGTATTTTTAAATGTTTATACAGTAGTGTAGTGTATATTGAAATAAACAGAATATGTAGAGGAAATCAGCTCTAATCTACATTATTTAGGTATAAATACTGGTCAGAGAGCCCACTTTAAGTCCGAGGCATGGGTAAACAAGTACGTCGCTAAATGAGGAGAGGCTGTAGTATGTCACTGCTGTCAGCTAGGCCTGTATGCCTTGTAGATGTACTTGTAGTAAATATATTATTATTATTATTGTACATGTACTTGTAGTAAATACATTATTATTATTAATTATTATTATTATTATTATTATTACAGGATGACACCTAAATCAACCAAGTTAGGCTCAGCCAACAAGAGATATGGGCAACCGGAAATGCCAAGTCATACCTCTTGACTGCCACCTTCTGGAGTCTACCTGGAGGGCATTCCGGGGATCAACGTCCATGACCAGGCCTCCTGGGGGGATCAGGGCCTGATCAATGAGGTTGTTACTGCTGGCCGCATGTAGTCCAACATACGAACCACAGCCCAGCTGATCTGACACTAACTTTACGAATCTGTCTAGCTCCCTCTTGAAGACAACCAGGGGCCTATTGGTAAGTCCTTTTAAAGCTGGTAGGAGGCTGCTGAACAGTTCTGGGCCCCAGACACTTTATTGTGTTTTCTCTTAGTGTACCAAGGGTGCCCCTACTTTTCACTGGGGGTATGTTGCATTGCCTGCACACAGATTGGGGACTGTGTGCAGATTAGAGATCAGTCCCACCAGGATCTTCCAGGTGTAGATTATGATATATCTCTCTCGCCTGCACTCCAGTGAGTACAAGTCAAGTGCTTCCAGGCATTCCCAGTAGTTAAAGTGTTGGATAGAACTTATATGTGCAGTAAAGGCTCTCTGTATATTCTCTAGATCTGCCTTGAATAGGGATGTTAATGTACAGCAGTATTCCAACCTAGAGAGAACAGTGATTTAAAAAGGATCATCATTGGCTTGGCACCTCATCCTGAATGTTCTCATTATCCATCCTATCAGTTTCCTTGCAAATGTGATAGTGGCATTGTTGTGATCATTGAAGGTGAGATCCTCAGACTATACTTTCATTACTTTTCTGCTCTATTGTGTGATTAGAGTTTGTAGTATACTCATTTCTAGCTATTATTTACTCCAGTTTCCCATAATGGAGTAGTTGGAATTTGTCTTCAATGAACATCATTGCCCATTGGAAAACTTGGTTTATATCTTCTTGCAGATCCTAGTATTGTCTGCATAGGATGATAAGGTGCTATGGTTTACATCTCTGTCTGTCTGATATGAGGATGAGGAACAGGATAGGGGCAAGTACTGTGCCTTGAGGAACAGAGCTCTTCATCATGGCAGCTTTCGATTTAACTCTGTTTACCACTGTTCTTCATGTTCGAGATATTTCCACCCAAGGACACGCAAGGCCGCCCACCTGGACCCCAGAGAGCTGCCCAGCACATCCTCGGATAATCCAATTCCCACAGCAACCACCACCACCACTGAGGTGGTCAAAAGAATGGGATGCACAAGTATCCCTTCCTGCTCTACCTAGGAGCCAAAATTCACAAGGGGAAAAAATATCCCTCCAAAAACGGAAGAGGAGAGAATTGTTTAAATCTGATCCAAGGAAGGAGAAAAGAGGTTTTATTCCTGGGATGGAGAGCCCCTTCACTTCAAGGGATCCTTACTCTCCTGAAGGGAATTAACGAAAATGGCAATTTCTCTTATTCAGCAGTGCCCCAAAACTGAGTGACGAAAAAGAACTAGAAAATTAGCAATTTATCCAATAAAATAAATCAAAACTAAGTACAGAAGAGAAATAAAGTTACCTCACCTTGGTATTTACTCTGCAAACACACCAAGGACATCAACCAAGGCAACTTACTGCAACTTTTAGCAATATTTTTAGAAATATAGAAAAACGAACACCAGAATGAAATAAAAACATGAATCACGATCATGTGATGTGTGCAGCATCCGGTTGTTAATTAATTAGAGGGTGATGACCAGACCCGTGGTCAAGGCTACCTAACAATGCAAAGCACCAAACAACACCTTTCTGGCCTCCTTACTTGGTGGAGAGGGTATTAATGGATCCCGTCACGACCATCATGATAGCCAGCAGCATCTGTTTGGTAGTCCAGGCCATGGTTGATAGTGACGGGAGGATAGAAGAGAGGATAGCAAGGTTCCTCACGCCAGCAACATCACAAGTGTTGTGGTGGACTGGTCGCTTACACTCCCACTACCAACCATCCTCCTACCCATCACTCACACTATATATCTATATCAACTCGTATTCAATATGTTTTCTAACTTTCAAATACATTAAAATGTTTTTTGTGTGTGACTGAGTTCATATTTGCATAAACAATTCATTGCGATCGTAAACTTGGACCCCAATGGAAATAATTCACTGACTTTTTTGGGGTTATCCTAAATAATTTATGTCAATAACTTCATTTAATCACAGGTACACATAAGTACAATTATCGTACATGGGTAAATTATCTAGGATAACCCCCCAAGAAAGTCAGTGACTTATTTTCACTGGGGTCCTTGTTATACGTATGATAATTGTACTTATGTGTACCTGTGCTTAAATAAACTTACTTGTAAATACCCACAGGATGGGTATGGGGTGCATAATAAACATAATAAACTAACTTGTAAATATAAGTATGGGGATCAACA